GTCCTGTGCGGTTCTTCGTCAGGCTCCGGCCATTTGGGCAGAGGGCGCACCTTTGCCGTAGCACCTCAATGCAAGCCAGCGACATGGCCGCATGTGTCGAGTGGAGTTTTGCACGGCTGCAAACTGTTACAGCTGTGCTGCCGTGTCAGCATTTGGCGTTGTATCGCAGCCTTTGTGACATGGCCGAATGTGACTTCCAGACAAACCGTATCGTAATAGTGTATAGCTGTTTTATTTATATTGTACAAAACTACATTACATACTATGCAATATCATTGTATGCTTATTTTGGGCAATGTTCGCGCTTGGAAGTCCGACAAGGCAAAGGCCCTTTGCACAGCTGTCGCTCCCGTTGGGCTGCCGCAAACTTGGATGTTGAGACTTGCATGCACTACGCCGCTACGCGCTTCTACGGCCGTAGGTTCTTCGTCGTGCAAGCTGTGCACATCAGAAAGTTGGAGATTTGGCCAGCGTGACGTAGTGCTGCTGCCCAGGCAGGTGCCCGACTGACTTTCGGTTGGATGGCCCTGCTGATGTGATATCGGCATTTAGAGACATGAAATCCTTTAGTCCAGTCTTTTCCCTCGGATTGCGCCTGTGAAGTCGGAGCTGCTAGCCCAGATGTATGCACGTCGTCGCGTCGTTTTACTCTTCCAGCAAGCAAGTACTCGCTCGTGAAAGTTCCAGGTGTTCATCGACGGGGAGCACGACTTCGCTTCTGTCGATCAAGACCTTCGGCTTTGGGCCCCTCGCGTTCGCCCAGGGGGCCTGGCTTCTCGGACCCCAAGAAAATGCACGGTCACTGTCACAGGCTTCCTGAAACTGTAGCTTCAGTGTTGGTAGCTGTTTCGGTTCCTTCTCGTGTGAGTGTGCTTCCTGCCAACACACACTCGCACGTTGCGCGTTCTGCTGATCATTTCGTCAGTAGTCAGTATCTGCATACTTGTAAGCTGTAGAAGAATCACGATCGCCCGAAAGGTCTCAAGCCTGTTTCAGGATAAGAACGTAGATGTGCTAAGTTCATGGAGTCGTGTGCCGGTCGTGAAGTCTGGTGCAGAGGTAGCTGGACATGACTACCGCCACGTGGCATGCATTCAGAGGTGCTCCAGGTCTGTGCCCTTGCCATGTGCAGTTGTCTTCTGATAAGCATTCAACGTTGCAGCGTGTTTCATCAAGCTGTACAAAATCGTGTCGGGCTGTGCATAACGCTCACCTTCCTGTGGCAACTTGGCTACTGCCGATGGTGTGCTTCTGCGTTTTGCAATTGAGCAGCATGTAGCCGAAGGCTTGCCTCATGCTTTGGATCTGGTTGAAGCTGTTCACAGGTGGGGCAGTGGAGTGAAGCACGGCTGTCTGCTGCCTGTTTGCGTAAAGATTTACATGGGAAGGAAAACCACGCGCACTGCAATGCCCAAGCACAGGCAACAAGGCTTCTTATTGCATGGTTGGCATCGCTTGTTGTCGTGATGCTTAATTGTCCTGCAACTGTTTTCGGAAACGGGTTTGGCCATCTTCTGATTCTGTGCGCAGTGAGTCTTAACGGCTTAACGATACGGCAAAGGAGCAGCAGTGCGACGGCCATTTCTTCGTCTGCACTGTTCTTATGACTGTTGCACCCAAATATCCCGTCGTCCGATTGCAGCTGCTGGCCTTTGATGCGCAAAGCTTCGCTTGTAGGCTTCCTGATACTTCAAGGGTATGTGAATTTGTGTTCCTGCTCCGTCCTTGTCTATCCAAGAATCCAAGACAATGTTGCAGGCATTTGCCTCCTGGCCAGCAACTTCAAGTGGGTCCGGACGGTATATGGTGGTGGATCGCTTGATGGCAAGGAACCAAAAAGAGAAAGCTTGGCGCTGGGGGCTGGGGGCTGATTCTTCGGGCTGGGGTTCACGATATTGCATATTGGGACTTGGAGGATGTGACACCAAAGGCCAGAGGTGTAAGTGCTGAACTGAATAGTCCTTAGATGCATGAACACTGGTTTCTGTCCTTCGCTTCTGGTTACTCACTCCGCAAGATCTGCCAGTCGTTCAGCAAACTTTGGAGCTACTCGTTCCTCCTGCTTCTCAATGCAGCGCAGGTGCTCGAGAGATCCAGCCAGACCCGAAGGGGCCGGCTGCCAAGAAAAAGCAGCAACCAGGCCCAGTGACTCCCTGACAGTCCAGACCTCATGAAGGGATGTGTCCAGACGCAGCGCAGGTCCGGAGATCCCAAAGGACTCGAAGGAGTCGACTGCCAGGAGGAAGCAGTCAACAGGCCAGCCCAGCTTCAAGATGTGTCTCCGGGAGCGCGATAGCTCTTTTTTGCACGCGAAGAAGCCTGAAGGGAAAGTTACCCATGTGCTTGTTTAAGTCCAAGTTTATCATGAGTCTAAGCTCTCATGGTGGAGGTTTCATGGCTGTAGTGCTGCAGGCCGAAGTCTCTGGGAGTAGGAACTCGCGATCTCCCCTGGTGCCTGCGCCACGCAGGTGGCTTCGCCCGACCTGCGGAGCCCCCGCGACAGGACTTGGACCCTGCAGGCGACGGGGCAAGACTGCCTGCGTGTGTTGGGGGGGGGGGGGGCTGTGCTTTCAGAATGGCAGAAACAACGAGCAGGTTTCGTCGTGGAGTCTAGAGGGCTCAGGGCTAAAACTTAGATGGGAACAACTGGGTTCGTGGTAATGATGCTACCTTCATCTGCGGACAAGTGCCAGGTCAGACTGAGCCATCTGACGTGCACGAGTTGGCTGAGCGCCCGGCACCACAGTTCTTCCGGCTCTCACACCCCATCCCTTTCTCTCCCTCCCTCCCTCCCTCCCTCCCTCCCTCCGGACGTCTGCCCTGACTCCCCCCAAGCTTCACACAGTCCAGCCTGAGGTTTGCTCGACTCAGACCCTGCTTGGCGAGCTGAGAGGCCCCAGAACGAGCCTTTCTTACTCCGTTCGGATGCTGAGGTTCGGAGGATTGCGAAACACCTTGCAAAGCTGGTCATCACATCTCCATCTTCCCACATGTAAATTGCCGCCGTCCCCTGGCAGGGAACTGAACAAGCTGGCGCCGGATCAACTCCAGAAGATATGCCTTTCTCTACGACGCAGGGCCACGCAGGTGGGTGGAGCGGGTATGTCTCTGATGTCAGATTGCTCAAGCTCGCATTCCTTCCTTCTGCCCGACGGTTGTAGGAGGCCCTTTTGGCCTGCTAAACACCAAACTTACGTGAGGGTCCAGCAGTGCATCTGTCCAGGGTCCCGGTTTGTGTGCCTAGTTCTGGCTTTTCCTTTGCCTCAAGCGTGCGCCAACTGCTTTGATTGCATGGTGAGTGGAATCATTGTAAGACGGAGCCAGCATGTTGGTACATGCAGGGGACGTGGACTCTGAGTGACCTTTGACATCCTTTCAAGGCCTTCTCCATCAGTGACGTTCGAGCTTCACTCCTGAACGAGGTGGGTCTATCCATGCTATCCGTGTTTAAGACTAGTTACTATATGCAGCATTCCTCTTATTGTTTTGGGTCACTGTTTATGTTTCCAATCAGCGAGTTGTTGTGCAGACATGGATCTTGCTGCTGTGATGTCAAGCAATTGTCCACCTTAAGCTGTTGAGTAAACAGGAGGGAGCGGAGTATGGGAGGCCGAAGGCACTGTTTGAGTTGAAAGATGTTCCGAAGAAAGCCCGGGGCACCAGCACAACCTAAATTAAGTCCGCGTCAATACAACTTGCACGTCTGAGACAATTGTTGGTCGGTACTGTCAATGTCGAAACATGCATCCCTGGCATGGAGGCGGAGAAGGGATTGCAAGAGGAGGCGCTTTGCAGACATGCAAGTGTGGCAGCAGTTGCTGTGCCCTATCTGTCTTCAACGCAAGCACAAGCAGCCTGCCGTGTTCTCGTGGCTCTGTGCTTGAGGCAACCCGTCGTCACCTGCAAAACCTGGAGGTTCGCTTTCTGCAGACTGAGCACTGAGTGTTTTTGCTGCTTCGTTCTCGAAGCAGCCTCGACACCAGGATCAACGAAACGAGGCTCGCGCGTCTTATCAGGATGCTGCAACTTGGCCTGCAACATGCGTGTGTGTTGTCGGCCTCGTGCATCCATGCGCTGGACGAAGTCTTTGGCCATTGTCCCTCACATGATGAGAAGCGGAGAGATGACGAGACGAGGTTGAGACCACGCGGCGCCTGCGCATCGATCTGGAGCTCAGGTCGAACTTCAATCTAAACATGTCAACTAGCTGCCTGCCCGGTCGATGACACCAGGACGTGCTGTTCTGTCACCCTGCCCGCTGATCTCCACTGGGCCTCCTCCCTCAACTTGCATGTGCGAAAGCTGGTGGCAGGCGCAGCGGCACGCTGTCCTCCCGATCCACGACCTACGTAAGCCCTCATTTGGACATCCGTTGCATACAGTACATGCATGCCTTTCCGCGTCTCAAAAGCGACTCCTGTCAGGGCATTGCGGCAGTGCCGTTGTGGCTCAGAGCAGTGTAGTGAAGCAGCGGGGTCTACACAAGCGAAGAGTTCTCATCTTTCACCCCAGCTTCAGTGCTTGTGCCATTTCTGCATAACGTACCTCCGCGTCTTTGGCGAAGTGCATCCTTGCCAATGCAGCGCGATTGCAACCACTGCCAAGAAGTTATAGAAGTGTCGGCACGTGCACGTCCAAAATCCTGACACAGCTGTCATCTCGACTCCGCTGCCGCCGCCAATCGGAGACTGAGGTGGCAATGGTAGCAGACCGCGTGCGCAAGCGGTCCAAGAGGGCTACACTAGCTGACAAGGAAATAGCCTTTGAGAGAGTGTCAAGCCCTGAGAAACAAGAGGAACGAAGAAAGGAAGTCGCAGCGCCGACACATGCCGACACACTGCACGACAATGCCGCCACCTACACATTCCCTGAGAACAGATGCCGGAGCTCTTTTGCATATGTTGGTCAAGAGCCGTGAGTGACCGCTAAGCTGCGCGTAACGTAGCCACCTGGGTGCGACGTGAGTCAGAAGCTCCCGGCTCTCGCTTGAAGAGGCCAAGATGGGCACTGAGCAAGGGGAAGGGGACGGAGCCGTCCCTGCGGAGCCCGTTCCATGGCGCAATTTTAGGGTCGAAGCATCCCCGGAAAGGCTTTCTAGACGGCGGATCATCTGTGCCACGAAGTGCCATTCTTCTGTCAGGTCATGCATGGCTGGTGTCACTCTTACTTTCGGTGGTTCATGATGATGACGATGGCGGTGGCGATGCAGGATGATGATCATCATCATGATGCCGGTGCCTGGTGTGGTAGTTGATGACGACTCTCGTGGTGATTCTGATTGCTGTTTCCAGGGTTCCGTTCTCTCTGTGCTCGGCAGTTTGCCTGGCAAATTCGTCTCTGTTTACCCCAGTACCTAGATCGGCTTTCGGTCGGTAGCATGAGGCTGAGGCCACCAAGACCATGCAAGTGGTCGTGCACAGTCCCTCGGCTGGTGAAGCCAAAACACAGACCACATGTAAGCATACTAAACCAAGGGTAGTGTATACCGACATATACCCTCATATTGTTAGTTGTAATCATGGTAGAACAGGAATGACAGTGATTTGTCAGCAGCAGCACTGTGCTGGTTAAAGGATAAAGAAGACAAAGAAGCAGACGGCTACTGCTGCTCCTTCTGGTCATGCTCCTACTCCTATTCCTACTCCGTCTCCAACACCTACTACTGCTGCTACTACTGCTACTACTGCTCCTGCTGCTGCTACTACTACTACTACTACTCCTCCTCGTCCTCCTTCTGCTGCTGCTGCTACTCGTACCACCAATAACAACAAAGCACGAAGAATGTGAACAACAATGCTGATACTGTTACTGCGCCACTACGCTTCAATCAGCTAGTCAGAAGAAGAACAACCCTGAAAGCCCACCCACTGTGGCGGGAGCACATTTACAACTGCTGTCATCGATCATCACTAGTAACAACTGGCACTCACCAGTTCAAAGACAGACTGTGCAAATTGCTGAGGCCTCGCTGGTGAGGAGCTTCTGGCGATGCAATGCCAAGCGGACTGGATGGTGTCAGACATCGCAGGAAAGGCGGAGAATCCGAGGTGATGTTTCTTCTGTCGGGGGTTCCCCCGGGAAAAGAACTGGCAAGAATGAACACATCACATGAGCCTAGCCGTGAGATACCTATCTATATATATATATATTATTAATATACATATTAGATGTGTATATATATATATATATATTATATAGAGCAGCCATTGAGTGCAGGTGGAGCCCAAGTTGACTGGACTTTGGCAAGTCAAGCTCCAGCTGGCGGATCAGGTCCTGCAGGTGCCAGGGTTGTGTTGCTTGCCACTCTTGCCAGTAGGATACGCAAGATCGCACACACACACACACACCGACGCACGGACGAATGCACTACGCACATTGCTTATGCATGTATTTGTTGTTTAGCGTTTATTCAGTGTTTAGGGTGTAAGTGATGTGTAAAGATAAACAATCAGTACATAAAATATATGAATATATATATATATATATACATATGTTTATATAATATATATACATATATTAGCATACACGCTGCACATATGTTTACATGGAGGTATATGACTTATATGACTATACAGATAAACATAGGGCCACCTCTTCAAATAAGACGAGCATAAGCAACTTGCACGAGTCTAAGAGAGTGCACTGAAGCGTCGGCTTCGTGAGGAATCTAGTTGTTCGGGCAGCGAAGAGGAAGGTTCCAAACTTGCTCTACTACAAAGTTCCGTTGCTTCACCATTCCAAGCACAGATTGCTCAGGCTCTCTTGCAACAGGTTGAAGCATTCGCCGCAGGTACCCGTTGCGGTCGCTTCCCACCCAGAGATTGTATAAGCCCGAGACTAGTCTGAGAATCTACTGCATCGCATTTTACCGACGTAGCCGTAAGTATCGTTGTCACAGCGGAATCATTTCGCATGAATCTGGGTGGCACACTGCAAGACACAAGACCTGCCGCAGGGCAACGAATGCCTGGACGATTTGGCGAGCGGTGGCGATCTGGTGCGGGCTTCCAGTCGTTTGCTTATTCCTGGGTTCATGCTTCTTAAAAGGCTCTTCGTCTGCCTCAGACTTCGAAGGAAGGGAACACAGGAAGAGCTGCTGGAGGCATTCACTGAACACCACACCCAGGCGACGAGAAAACAGCACAGTAAATGCCAAACATCGCCTTGTTTCGCGTGCCGTGTATCAAAGACGGTTGATTCATTCGTTGTTCCTTCGTTTTCTTCACGGAAACGATGAAGAAGACAAAACGATGAAGCACAAAAGGCAACAACACTAATACCAATGCAAGCAAACTACCTCGACGGGACAGGTTGTTTAAGGTCGGTTTGTGTTGGTGTTGTTGTTTAATGTGTCCTCCTTGTTTTGGCAATCTCGCTCCCCATCTTAACCGAAAGTCTGTTCTTGTCCGACGCAGAGTACAGTATGCCCGAGATGCTGGCATGCATATATACTTGATTATTTCATTAGGTGAAGATTGCAGCTCCACTTGTAATTCTGACTTCTTCGGCCGTCAGAGAATGCGACATCGTGAGGACCTGACAGCAGTCTTCTTGCGAGAAACTGTCTGGGGCCCATCCAGACCGTCTGCAGAGCAGAGGGATGCATGTGCTATGAAGCGTATGAGCACAGGATTGTGATGGAGTGCTGGATTTCCGTTGGTGAACGACTTCAGGTCGTCGGTGTCTATGCGGCATGGGCTTGCAGCATCCTCGTTCTGCATCCGGACCATCGAGCAGCGCAACTTGCCCGCACGAATTCGGAGAACCTGAGAATTGCCGAGCTCTGCGCGGTTAAGTTTAAGTTAAATAGGCCCATGATGATCCCTGCAAGCACATCTAAGCGGAGGCTTGCAACATGTGGGACGTCGAAAGAAGTCGTCCTTCTGCCAGGATGGCATCTGATTGGAAAACCGAGGGCAGCAAAGCCGAAAGGGTGCAAGAAGCATGGGAGAGGACATGCTCTCCGACTCTCTGTCATGGGCAAAGGCCTCACAGACTTATGTAGGTAGACCTGATGGCCTCAACAGAAACACTCAATCCCACGACACCAACCATCCGTCGTCGTGGTCCAAGACGGGCTCCATCCCAGCTGCATTTGGCAGCCTCTGTCTGTAGAGCTAAACGAATCCAGGTATCTTTGGTTAGATGACTACTGGGACGATCCGCTGATGCAAAGCTGCCCGCAGAGAACCGCAGCGGAATGGGCCAGCCGCAAGACAGAAGCGGCAAGTTAGGATTGGGGCAGGGGATTTCAGCTGGAAATCCCTCACTGCGGGCTGCACAGTAATTAAGCTTCAAACGTAGATGCCTGTCTCTGCTATTATTCATTTCTGGGCACAGCTGCAAAATATTGAGAGCACTGCTCATGATAGAGACCATTTTTTGTGAAAGTCTGCTCAGGGTCTTTGATTGAACTGTGCTTGATGTCTCGAGGTGAGGAGGCCACCGGCAGCTGGAGCTTGGACGGGGCTGATCTTGTCGTCAAAGCTGTGGAAGATGGTTTGGGTGATGACCTGCGGCTCACGCATTAATATAAATCTTTCATGGGTTCCTGACCGAGTCTGAAGGGCCATGCAAGCTGCTGCAGCCTTCCTTTCTCTGACTCCTTGAGGCATCTCACCGCCAAAGTGACGAGAAGCCCAGAGGCTCTCAAGCAAGGCGCGGAGCGCTCGTTTGAAGCATCCCCCCTCTTCCCTTCCCATCTGTGATAAACAGAGAGACTGTGCTGTGCTTCGGCTTTTCGGCTAGGCATCTCCGAGATCATGTTCGTCGCCGAGTGCACTGCCAAGCTGTCGGCCGGTGCCGCATTGCCTCAGACATGAGCATGACGTGCCATGTTGACACAGTGCCAAGGCTATATCACAAGTATACCGGCGATGCAGAGAGGAGACCCGAGCCAGAAAGGAAATCGTTTTACAGAGTGTGCCATTTCGACGGCGAACCTGCCGTGCAACTTGATGAACATGGTTCAGGGAAGTGGGCAGACCCTGCTGCAACCTGAGCGATCACGCGGAAGTGCATGTGAGCCCTTCTCATGCATGTTCCGCAGATCTGCTGGTGTGTCGCCTTCCCTATTTTTTCTCGAGCTGGTAAGTGCTGTGGCGCAATGCCGAAGCTTGCTGATTGTGTATTACTTGCCAGTGATATAGCTCGAGACGATTAGTTGGCAGCCATACAGTGCACCAACATGCTGCAGTAGACCACGTTGCCTTGCGACATGCTGGATCCCTTGTGTCATACGTGTCCGACGAGATAGGCTTCAGCTTCAACCCACCACGAAGTTTTGTGAAGAACAACAGCCTGCACGCAGGGAAACTCCAGGCCCTCCAGTGCTTCCCGTGCTCGCTCGCCACGACCTCAGGGTGTACAGAAAAAGAGCAGTAGGAGCATGGTGATACGTCTTGAGTAATCGGGCGCTCCAACGGAGCTTGTTATTGCCGAACGTGACTCGCAAAGCAGCAGCAGCAATAATGTGGAGAGTAGCGGTAGAAGAAGATTTGGATCTGCAGCAGTTGTCCTCGACTAGTGGTAGTGGCGGTTGACAACGGTTGCTGCAATAATGGCAGCTCAGCAACAGAGTTCAACGTTGTCATGGTCGTCGTCGTCGTCGTCGTCATCGTCGTCGTCGTCGTCGTCAGCTTTCTAAGATATGTGGCAAAGCCATGTCTCTGACATGTCTCTCGCGGCTCGTTGCGTCAGATTTGATTCAGGCCACATTTCGCAAAGTGTGCAAAGGCACGCACACCAGCTTGAAGAACAGCGTTCTTGCTAGTGCTCAGTAGTAGCAGCCGTAATGTGCTACTTGTAGTAATTGTAATTCTAGTCGCAACACTAGTAGCATCAAGACTCCTTATGGGCACACCAGTGAATCAACGTCGTGAGGATGTCGAGACCACGCACTCCAAGCACTGGTGCCGGTGCCTGAAATGCGACGGCCGGTTCATAGGTACAGGGCTTGAGCACAGATGAACAGTGGGTGGTCTCGCCCTTCTACATTTTCTACAACTATAAGAACTAGGTCAAGCGTTCATGCAGGCTACTCGCCTGGGTAAAGTCGTTGTCCGTGACGCCAAAGTTCATTCGGTAGCTTGTGCAGAAGTCGTTGTGGCGACTAACTTTCGAGCAAGGGGCATGACAACATGCAGATTGCAGCGCCCGCTGCTTGAGTTTATGGCTTGTTCTCTGTGGTATGTTCTGATTCTGAGCCCCCGTCAGCCACTGCGGTCCAACCTTTATTCGATTCGTGCCAGCTGTAGCTTCGCACCTTTCGCCTCTTGGATTTATGATTTGCTTCTGACAATTCGGAAGCCGCAGTCTGTGAGGTTCGGGCGGTTGAGGCTATCAAGGCTGACACCGCGATTTGAAGCCAAAAACCTAGGAGTCACCACAAGCCAGAAGCCGGAGCTTGTGCGGTTGGTCGCCGGCTGCCATGTCGAGAAGCTTGGCAGACTCTTAGAAGCCCTTACTGGTAGGTGGCTATGAGAAATCCTCCTGACTGGCCGAGCCGAGGCTATCTGAATGATCACCAGATCATCACGGAAATCGAAGAGCGCTTCGACTCTCTGGAGGCACAAAAACCCTCGGAAGTCTCCATGTCGCCCCTGGGCTCATCCAACGGCTGCATAGCTACACACAGCGTCTTCGTCAGGCCACTGTTGGCAGTGTCGACGAGCGTATGGAGAGCCTGGAAGCGATTGTGAAGGTGCCTTTTTTCAGAAGTTGGATGGGTGGGTTGGGTTCGATGCTGCACTTCTATTAGACACGGCAGAGTTGAACACTGCTGGCGAAGATTCAAAGAAGCAGGGGGCTGTTGTTTTTAAGCAGCGATCCTGATCCAGAGTAGAAGATGGATGACGAAGACGAAGAGCCTCCTGCAAAAAGGAGATCACTGCCCCCTGAGAGGTCATGCAGCAGACCCTCAAGGGGCACCTCCACGAGAGGAGCCTGAAGAGTGTGGACGTGGACACCGAAGATACGGCGCGAATACTGGGCCCGAAGTGGGGACAAGAAGCCTCAGGCGGATAGTTTTGCGGGGCTCGTGACAATGACTCCGCCGAAGCGGATTCGTACGGAGGATGTCTGTTCAAAGGGAAGTGCTAGAAGTTGCTAAACTGACTGAACCTCAACAGCCCTGGCAAAGGCCCCGCGGAATAGATTCCGGTCAGCTTGCCTGTGAGGCCCCTCGCCCCTCCAACCTCCAGAAGATGATGATGTCTCAGAGATCTTGGAAGGGGTGCTTGTCGGAGAAGGCGGGGCGAGGTAGCCGCTTCTCCTGCTAAACCCTAAGCCCTAAACCTTAAGCCCACATCAAAACACACCAAAATTTCAACAACAATTCATCCCGCTTTGCATCAGAGGCTTCGTGGTTCTGAGGCTCCACAGCCCTGGCATTAGAAGTCCTGTCCACGAGCCTAGGCGGGACCTCTGTCCGATCCCAACGCACCAGGTCTCAGACCACATTGGGTTTATAGGGTTTAGGGTTTAGGGTTTCAGATCCATCGGATCCGGGTAAGAGCGTGTGAGACTTCATGTTTGATGGGACTAGTGACTACTTCTTTTGTATCGACATTGGATTGGTTGCGTTTCCTGACGCCAGGCATAGAGCCCTTTTGACCGGCACGATTAGATGCTTATTTCTAGACTTCTCGACATGCTGCGGGGGCATCGCAAGAAATCGGAGGGCTTTCCTGATAAAGCAGGCGTCTACAGGTTTGAAGTAATTTTCTGTTGCAGCCTGGTCAGGCGCAGACAACAACAGCATGGACAAGGAGAATAACACGTCACCTTTGAAACCACGGACCGGACGTGGTCAGAGGAAAACGATCTCCACGGCCAAGGCCAGCTTCTCTCCCAATCACATGGGAGTATCCGAAAATAGGGGGCCCCAATATAGTACCCCAAATAGTAGGATCCTTATTATAAGGACCCCCAAAATAAGGTACCCTAATTTTCGGAAAGTCCCTCATATCAAAGAGTGCAGCAAGACAATCAAGATGCCATTGATTCCTGCGGACTCCGAACATGTGATGGCGCACACGCATGCTTTCCGCGGACCAGACGCGGCAAGTTGCCAGAGAGAGGGTGCCACATCGATCAAGACAAGGGAATACGAAGCTCTTGGGGCGTTCGAGAGAGCGTGACTGCAAGTTTGGGTGGGACGGTGCGGTTCCGTTTGGGGACATTTCAGTGCAAAGCCCGGTAACGAGGCGCAAGCGACGCAAACAGATACGGAAATCAGAGAGTGTCATGCTCTACAAGCAGAGAGAGGGGACTCACACTGTACGCCGGGACTTGTGCTTGGATCTTGGAGGATGCTGCCGCCCAAAAATCGTGCGAGTCTGAAATCTGCAGGACAGGCTTTGACAGGTGTATGTAAGGTAAGGAGGTGCAGTATGGAAGTGGTTACTCGTAGCTTCGACAGGCGAGCTTGGCGAAGGCTGGACCTGTTACTAGGCACAAAGGATGATACTGGCGAAAGAAAGAGAGAGAAACAGTCGAACACGTTGGCAGTGCTGCTCTCACTCAAACGGCTTGTGCAGGTCACCCAAATCAATGAGCGAACTTTGGACACGCAGACACAGGCCTGTCGGTCCGCTGGTTTACCCGAAGCAAGGTCATACCTCAGGATTGCCACGTAAGTGCACAGCCAGCATTCTCCGAAATGAGTGCCCATGCAGTTTCGAAGGGGACTGCGGATAGAGACCAGGGAAAGCTGTGCAACTTCCTGTTTCCTAGCAAGTTTGTCGCGAAGGAGTATTACTCCTTTGGAGAATCCACGTGGGATCTGTTCATGTTCATCGGCACTGGTGCTTCTCAACTGCAACAATATCTTCTGTGACGCACCGTGTGCATGTGCTGGAGCCCTCACGTTGCCAACGGATAGCTTCTGGCGTCGCACTCGATGGAGCAACTACGTACAACGGGAACAAACCAAATCAGACTCGACCGGGAAAACCACGGACACCTCCCCGACACCGATTGGGATACCAACGGGCACAAGGTCCAAACGGCAGCCGCGTCCCCCGACTCGGCGGCGGACCCCAAATTGTGCCCGTTCGTGTCATCGGCGCCTGCAGCTGAGGCTCTCGGACCGTTGGGCTCTCTGCAAACCTTCGTTTTGGCGAAGCTTGGGGGCATTTTCTTCGGCAGCCAGCAGTCGTTACTGAGATCCCTGATGGTTGCCGCCTTTTCGGAATGTCGAGTCATGTAACTGCATGATTAGTATCCATGTTGGTGGATGGTTTAGCGGTGCCCAGAATCCCTGATGTGGACGCGGCATCTTTGGAGTAGTAGGTTTTCTCTAATCTGCGGAAGTTTTGTCTGGAAGCAAGGATCGTAAATGTCGTTATGCACTTTGGCTGCAACTTCGGGGGATATCCGGAAAGGCGAAGGAAATCGAGAGAGCTGCGTTCCGGAACTATGGCGGTCGGAGAGTTAGGCCATTAATTTCAGGAAAATGCAGACGGACGGAGATGTTCTTGAGCAACATGTTGAGTTTCGGAGCGAAACAGGGAATCGAGCTTGCATCAATTGCTCAGCAGCAACTGTGGGGTCTGCATGGCAAGACCTGAGTCAGCTGACTCGTGCTCAGGGTCCGTTCTGTTGTCTGTCCAAGCCAGTTCCTGTTGACTCCATGTGAAGCGATATTGACAGCATGTTGAGCAGACGCATCGAGGCAAGGGATTTTCGTGGGAATCGCCCTGTTCAACTTCACCGACCCGGACATCACTTCGCAAACCATCGAGGACACTCTTCGCTGGCGACGTTCCTCAGGACGTCAGAAGCTTCCATTGTCAGGCAGTTGAGCGAAGGTGGTTTTGACACTCAGAGTTGCAAGGACATGCGCTTTCTCAGTATGATGATGTTTCGAAGTCCTCCTTGGTGGCACGTGTTTGCCAGTTGGACAAGCACCTTGGTCTGTCACAGCTATGCGCACGTGTCTCAGAGGCAAGAACAGTTTATGTAGTGCCGCACACGAACGAGAGCGAGTGCAGGCAGGAGATCTGATATCCTGGCGGTATGCAATTTTGGCCTAGGCAGTTTGTTTCGGACGAAATCGATGGAGCTCGAGTGCATGACACAGAGGTCACTGCCGGTTTCTGGCATCCAGATGAGCATGTACGAGAACATTCGCCACTTGTCAAAGTACTGGTTATTCAAAGGTCGAACTCTTGAAGCCCACTGAAGAGCCTCAGCAGATGCTTGGCAGAGTTGCTGCTTCGAGGGCGCTTTGTGCACGCACAGCCAAGTGCGCCGGTAGAGGAGGTTTTCGCCAGTCCAAGCTGGAAAGGAAATCCACTCGCCACTGTTTCTCTCTCTCTCTCTCACTCTCGTTCGTTCTCTCCCTCTCTCTCTCTCTCTCCACTCGTGACGGTGAGTCGCGTCACGCTACTTGCATGGCTACAGATCTTGCACATCGGCTGGGTCGTGCTTCTGATGTCCTTACATCTCCATATCCCATTTGGTAGCTCCAACTTTGTTCGGCATTTGCAGGTTTGAGGCACTGTAGCCGCCAGATCAGTCCCACAGGAAAGTACATCAAGCCCGAAGCGGTGGGTGTGGAACGGTTCTTCACGGGCCAGGTCCTTTGTGACACGGCTGCACAGACCAAGCTGGAACGCGAGATGTGCAGCCTTGCGGAAGTGCGAAAGGGATCTCCGAAGATTACCGTGAACAATCTTCAAGGACCTACGAGCCTAAAGGTTAAGGTTCAGATTCACCAGCATGTCATCAGCAATTCTACAAGAGACGCCGTGCACAAAATTTCCAGAACGACTTTTCAAGTGAAAGACTTTGCGAAGTTATGTGGCAATGTGATCAATTGGAAAGAAGCGGAGGAGAAGTCAACTGCCAAACTTTGTATGTATACCTTTGTGGCCTTTGTGCAGGGTTCTTTGGCAAACTTGATGCGAAGCTTGGGTTTACACTGTTCTCTTCTCAGCGCTTGTCCGGGCTGCTGGCAAGGTCTGGTGGCACTGATTTGCCGCTCATCTGGAGAAGAGGATCTCATACATCGCAGCTCCCGGAGTAGTTTAATAATTCTAACAAGAAAGAAGTCCCCCGTCTCAAGAGCTCTCCGCGACTTGAGGCTGGTACCTCATGGTTGCAAAGGAGGCCGCAAGTCTTCAGCACTGCTTGAGACTCTTCGGAAACTCATTAGATTCGCGCTGCCTTGGGTGCGGGTGCAGGGTCCCTCGCTTCCTGCGCCAAGAGTCTTATTTTCTTCGTGCCATGACTCCCTGCATGTGACGCCGAAGCTGCTGAAGCTGCCTTCCCCCCAACAACAACTGGCTCTGCCAGCCAAGTTGGGGGTTTGCAAGCAGGTGAGCCATGCGCTTGCCCTGCATCGTGGCATCGCCTCCGTCAATCGCGGCCCGACCACGCTCCTCACAAGAGAGACTCGCGGCCGCCTTGCTTGCGTCGGACTGTGGAAGCGTTTTGGGTATGACGGAACACTGTGCTCAGAAAGCACCGGGCAGCCGAAGCGTTGAAGACCCTACAATAGGCCCTGCAAATTCTACGTCATGATGTGCCACTGCTCAGGAATCCGTTCACACAGGTGCGGGCGGATCTGGATTGCAATTGTCGGGGGGGGGGGGGGGGGGGNNCGGGGGGGGGGAGGAAGTTGAAAGTTGGAAGAAATCGTTCTGAAGATGTTTGTCGTCACACTCATCCCATAAGGTTACAACCCGCGAGTGCTAAATGCCCAGACACCAGATTGAATCTCCGGGCAGGTGACACACTACAGGTACCTCGGCTGATGGCAACGCCTGTCACTCCAAATTTGGACAGCTTTTGATGTAAGTTCATTGCGATTCACGTGTTGCCCCAAGGCTCACCGCGGTTTCGCGGCGTCGAAAGGTGATCAGTGCACTTCTCCTAGTGTATCGAATGGTTGCTGCTGGCCTGTTGATCTACGTCGGGACCTTCTTCTTGGCTGCGAGGCTGCTTTGGATTGTGGGCAGGAGGCTAGCTGCTGCGAGTACCAAGTCAGTAGGCATTTCCCTACTTCGAAAAGATCGCCTGTCCGAGGTTTACACTGTCAATGTCACAGAGCTCATCCTGAACGTGCTTGCCTCAGCGCAGTGGGGGGATTCGACCCCAAAGAGTTTACAGAATGCGCCTTTTTGGAGGGGACGGTTTTGAGTATTGGATCTCAACATGGCGCAATTTGATGCGACTCTGGGGCTTCGGTATGTTTAGGAAATCGCCGGGATTTCAGCGCTTCATCCGAGCTCAGCCACCAAAGCTGGAGAACCTAAGCCCCCGAGAAGTCTTAGAGCCCAACCTGCTGGCATTGGTACTATCCTGGCCGCAAGCTGCTTAGTTGCTGGCGAGATGCTAGATTCACTTGCTGGATCTCCTGCAGGCAGTTGCCCTCGGCATCATCTTAGACATTGATGACTCAAAGCTGCAAAAGTGGGGGGTTGGAGGGCTCGGATGTTAAATTTTACTCATGTTGTGATGAAATTAGGTAAGGTGGAAATCTCTGCCATGCTGATGGCTTTCATTCTTGCTTCTTCCTGCCGCATGACAAGCTTCTGCAACGAGTCTGAAGCTTCAAACTTGCTTCAGGATCTACTTTTCGATGCTCTCGCTACAACACCTGGCCGACATCTGGTGACTCGGCATCAACGGATGCAGCCAGCTAACGAGCGAGGGTAGATATTGACATTCGTCAGGGCGATGGGGAGCTCAGGGCAGGCACCTTGAGAAGTATGCGCCGCAATTCCACGTATTTCCAAAGATGAAAAGGGTCTCTGCTTGCGAAGGTGTTTCTTGGAGGTCAATAGTGTCCAGCAGCGTTGGTGTCCAGATGTCGAGCTTGTCAACAGTAATTCTGGCCCCTCATCACGACAATCAGCATGCTACGGCTGCTACGGGATTCGGCGACCACGCCAAGAAATGGAACCACAGGGGCCACAGCAGGCATGTCACCGCCATATCACTTCTGAGTCTCCAGTTTCAGAAACTCCGTATGAGAGAGAGTTCGAGTTTCGTCTTTGCAGGTCCACCAGTTGGACTCGCTGCCCATGCCTTCCTTCCCTCGGTTTCGAGGCGGGCGCATGCCTTTTTTTGTATCAAATGGTACGATCAATGCCAACCTCGCTGCTCGCAAGAACGCTGAACAAACGGGCCGAGCACGGGACACACATTGCCCTAGACAGATGATGCCACATCTAGCTAGATATCACTGCGATACACAGGGCTCTACGACCTGCCAAATGCGGGACAGACAATTGCTCATGTTCCTCAAGCTCTGCTGGCGAAGGGGCCGACGCAAAGTCGATGACCATGAGTTTCCTGAGCCTCAGAAGCACCCAAGCCTCGAGAGATGTGTCCCATCATGCCGGATGCTGAGGTTGTGTGGCATAGACTAGTACAGCATGGCTAAATCGGAGGCTGTGGTGGAAGCAGGGAGTTGCATCGTTTGCACAGTTTTGTGTAGCCAGAGAGATGCATTATTGATCACGCTGTAGTCTTTTTTCTTCTGGTTACGAACTCCGTTTTCGACCGTTTTCGATGCTCAGGATCCCAGGTCTCACTATATTGACTCTGGGCAGCAGTGGTTCGCTGTGGAACTTCATGAAGCAAATAATGAGTGATGGGAACGCTGCACATGCGTGGCGTAGCTTACAAGCAAATCCTCTACGGATATTTGGGCGAATCCACTTGCCCACCACACACTCCCCCCACCTACTTGAGTGAGGAGAGAGACTAAAGATAGAGGGAACGACAGCACGTAAAGATTGATGAGCCATGACGATGACTACGGCAGCAGAAGCAATCAGAGCCGTGAAACAATCGCAGTTCTGAAAAAGGCATTGCAGCCGGAAATGCAGGTGCTGCCACCAGGCCACTCTCCGCCTGCCGCGAATCATCGACACACAGTTCCATCCATTCCGTCAGTCGCGACCTCCGCTGCAACAACAGCAGTCAAAAAGCCCTCGGAGTATTAACTGTTTGACAGCAAGTGATTCATCGTGATTCAGCTTCATCAACTCACGGCATTGGCAAAATGGGCAGCGGTATCCCAGTGGTAAAGCCACGCGCTTTGGAAAGCCCAGGATTTACTTTACGATGCTGGCTCCCATTGTCCAGACCCTTACAGACGTGTCAACTGCAATGTGCGGCGGGGCGCAGCAGTTCGTCTGGACCCTCGATAAGCGTGACTCGGCATCATAGCCAAGCCAGTAGAAAGGGCTTGCCCCACCACTGTCATGGGAGACTTGCTACTAGTAGCAGAGGCAGTCGGGCTGATTTGGGAGTTTGAGTGGCTGCATCGTGATGCCATGGAGTGTCGGAGCAAGGCAGGGTCGTGCTGATGTCGCCGACGACTGGTGGTGGTTGGGACAACTTGTCTGGTTCCATTCAGATGCTTGGAGTATATTGGAGCTGGAACTGGAACCTAGAGGGCACAGAAGCGTCAAAGGTGTGAAAGAACAGTCAAGCAATACTCTTCAGTTTGATGGTGGTTTGTCCACTGCATGGAAACAAGCAAGAATCTGATGTCTTGCTCAAGGTTCCTGGCCGTAGATGAGGCAGAGGGTTTGCCGACAGTTGACGGCATACCCAACCTGGAGGCTATCCAAGCGCCTTGGAGATTCGAGGAAGATCAGAGCTAGCTTATGCCTGCACTCTTCGTTGTTCCGGGATGGGGTGGGCTCCAGCCAGGCATGCAAACCGGTCTTCCTTGAAGGCGGAAGGCGTACATGGCCTGTGCAGGGTCAGAACATGCCTGCGCTGTTGCCAAGGAGACGGAGTACGGATTTTGGGTGAGGGAGGTGAGCCTTGCCTCGTGGTACTAGAGAGCGTCTGATCAAGGGGCTGCTGAGCCCATTTCTTGCTGAGCTGATCCCATAGCGGCCCCAGAGCATGCTCAGCTTCGTGTTTCCAAGGAGCAGATTGACAGACGCCTCTGTTCTATCCTTGGACGAAACCGTGGATGCCTACAACCCAGACTGTGGAGACATCGGCAACCAGGACCCCTTTTGTTCAGGGCCACTTTGCATCGCTGGAAGTTTGCAAGTCGCCCAGTCACCAGGAGCCGATCCTGAACTACTTGAGGAATGCTGTGGGTAACCAGAGCCTTCGAGGCTGCGCTGACGCAAAGCCATACTGCGGCTCGTCCCAGATCTAAGCTCATTGGTGTTGCACTGGAGCTGTGCCCCGCAAAGCGCCCTGGCCATCTAAAACGCCCAGGCAACTCCGTAACCAAGATGCCGGGGTGGACAAACGACGATGGAACTGGCTTCACAGTACGAATGTTTTGCTCTGAGCCTTGGCATTGAGGGGAAACTTCGGAGCTGCCGGTTGAACCCTTCCAAGACTTTGCTCCACTCCCATGCCCCTTGCGAGCCCGACTCGTCACATCGGCCCTGTCAAGGAAACTTGTGGCTGCAATGATCCAGGCGGCGAAAGTCTAAGCATCGAGGCTAGGCGCGGGTCAGCCTGTTCTCATACAACTGCCACGGAGCTGGAGTCCCCGTTGTTGTGCAGGGCTGTCCATACGGAAAGGGCCGCCCTTGCTGGAAAACAGCAGCTTTCGAGGATCTCGGCTGGCGAGATGTAGACAAGCGGATGGTACTGCAGCCGGGGCAGACTCAGAGGGTGTATCTTTCTACGAGGTCAATGCTATAGTATATAATAGCGGTAGAGGCGGATGGCCCAAAGTGGACAGCCGGACTTCCGAAATAAGGAGTCAGTCCCACCTCCCTTGTACCGGACACGCCCATGTGCATGCAGGATGCATTCGTCACCGCGGTGTGCAAAGAAAAGAGCGCGGCGGAACTGCGAAACTTCACGCCGTGGGTCAGCTGGGTGAACACCATCGAGGTGGCTGATTCGTGGGGGCACGCTAATCTTCACCCCTATGCCCTATTCCTCCTCTTACAACTATAAGCCTAACCTGATGTTTCCTCGCCTCGCAGCACTTCGCACTACACAGCCCCTGGCCCAGAGGCATTCAGTCAGGAGGAGGGCAACCTCATGGGGAAGCCCGAGGCAGCCCTCTTGGCACAGGCCGATCTTGTCTTTGGCTGACCAGGTGCCAGATTGCAGGAGCTCAGGTACTTCAACCGTCAGCACACTCTAAGTGGCCCCCCTTCTGCATAGCACTTTGCTCAGGGCTCATGTCGCTGAAAAGATCGCTTTCCCGTGTGCATCTGTCGGGTCAAAGACAGCCAGGGCGGAGTCCAGGCTTCAGAAAACTAACCATCAAGTTTCCTAGATTCCTTGGTCTGGTTCGCATCTTTCGGCCTCTTACGGGCATTCTGAGCCACTCTCGCGCTCGCACAGGCTATGTGGGAGCACGGATGTGGCTTCGCCGCCAATCTCTCTGCAGAGATCCTCGGGTCCTGTTGGGGGTCGGCCTGTCGCTCTGTCCCAGTCTGGGCATGTCTAAACCATATTACAATATGAAATATTATAATATAATATATTATATTATAGTATAATATATGATGTAAATGTAATATACTATGAGCTACTGTAGTATAACCTAGGTTGATCATGAGCACAGTGCCTTGTGAGCCTTGCACTGCTCGAGGCCTTTGTAACTCTCGGGGTGCCCACATGCGCAAATGTTGGATTCCACTTTTTGTGCTGCCCAGGAACATCAGCTGGGGCACGTGTGATCAGTGGAACACGACTTTCGATTGGCACTGGAAGACTGTCTCGTACTACTGCCCTACGTCTTGAAGCTTGTCAGCAATGGAGGACATACCGACAGGTTGACGACATCCGTCCGGGCACCAGATGCCCCTATAATCGAGCACCTATAGGACCCCGCATCCGCTGTTGCCCCCCCGTTTCAGATCCCTACTCACGGCTTCGGGCTTCAGCTTCCACCCTCTTCCCTCTCCTCTTTTTTTGACTTTGAAGCGCTGCACGGTAGCCGAGCGTAGCGAAGGTCAGGACGTGCATGTTGCACGGCAACAAGAAGCTACTCGTTAAACGATCCTTCCCTCTCCTCCCCGTAGTGGAATGGATGGGGGGTTTATGCTGTTCAGGGTTGAAACTTCAGGCTTCAGGCCAGCTTGCGGCTCAGGGGCTTGCAGTACAAGTAGGCTGGGGATACTATGCGGGACGGAGTTGGCACGGGGACCCCAAACTCACGTCGCACAACCACATATTAGACGACGAGTCCCCTTTGAGACTGCAGACATATTCTCTGATGCTTTGCCATCGTCAGCATCTCCAGGCTCCTGTGGCTGGGACAGCCTCTTGGCTCGACAAGCCTTCAAACGATCTGCAACTGAGCGCCTGCACGAACATGTTCTTCCGAAAGAGCACTATGCGGCGGGATGTTGCTTGCAGCTGGAAACAGGTCCTGCAGAGAGCACCTGTCCATTGCCACTGGGGCGGACTTGCGATGACCTAGAGGAGCCTTGACGCAACTGGCGGTTTGAGGACTTGGAGTTTGTCAAAGAAGAAGAGCATTCGACCTGGCATTGCTTTACGTGCTAGAATTGCTAGAACCCTTCGCAAACTCCATCCGGCTGATCTTGCGACTGGAAGCTTTCCCTCATGACTTGAAGAAGTATGTACCGCGCTCATGCTTGAACTAACATTTTCGATCACATTCCTTTGGTTTGTCTGACTTTCAACTTGACAGAAACTCAGTGCCCGTTGCCTGAATTTCCCCCACGGTGCAGATTGTATCCATGAGCGGTCTAAGGATTGTCTTTTTGCCAACAATCAGTACTACTGCCCTGAGACTGCGCCAACGATCAAAGGCCAGCCGGCAACTCGCGCAGAGCTTTCAATAGCCGAGCATTCTCAAATATTGGAAGCCGTTGTCTCATGCTCAGTGGGGGCTTGGAGTGTCGATAGTGGTGTTATCAGGGAGTCGCAAACTGGCGACTCCACGTTCTTGGCGATGCGTGGCTCTGTGGGGAATCTCCGAAGCTGGTAGAGCGACAGCGGGACATTTATCAAAGCGAAGCTGCGACGCCCGAACATTCGAAACTTGTGGGCAAATTGCTCATTGCTGATTGAAAGACGCATCACCGAACTCGAGTTGTGTCCGCAAGGGCTCACGCGTCCAGCGGTGGCAGTGTAAAGGAAGCTTTGGTGATTGATGGACCGCCATAGTCATGAGCTCACCTATAATCTAGGGCTGTCACCTGGTGTTGGACTGGTTGAAGTCGTATCGCACTGTACAGGCAAGCAGACACAGAACTAGCGAGCACACTACCAGTGCTCGTGCAAGCGTTTACACAGGCCAAGCCTTGAAAGTTGAAATCAAATCTGCCAACCATGAGCGGGCAGGCAACCTCGTCCTGGACATAAACAATCCTGTGTTGCTGATTCCGCACCTGGGCATTGCCTGGTCTTGATGTTTTCAGAGTTCTTTCATCTCAAGCTCTGTTGCAAGTTACCTCTTCTTGACCCTGAACCTCCAAAACCCTGAACCCTGCAATGGGGTCACAAAGCAACCTCGCTTGCTGGCATCCTAGCCATGACAGCACCTCGAATTCAGATTGGAAGCTGCTGGTGCTGTTGAGGGAGCGAGCCTAATGAGCTCGCCTTTCCCTTTCCAAGCCACGACGCTGTTGTGCGCATTGATGTTGTGATTGGAATGTGATGTTGTCCAGCCTGGCTGAGTCCAGCTTGTGCTTCCTCGAAGGGCCTTCAAATTCAGGTTCTAGTCGGCTGGACTGGAGCATCTGAGGCATGTAGATTCCGTGGGCATCGCCATCCAGGAGCTGGTCGTCCCTTAGCCTGGAAACCGATGTTGGTCCACCATGCAACTATTGCATGGCAATCTGCCCCGGGTCATTGCTTCCGCAGTCAGCAAATGCCCTCCAACTGGGCACTTAGTTTTGTCTCATTTGGTATGAAGGCCGACATGACTTTCGTTCGAGGACACAGGACAGTACACCAACAGTTCTCAGCAGGTTAGTTTGCGAGCTCGCACAGAATGTGGGGTGTCTTGAATTCAGGCAGGGCTTGCTGGAAATGGTGTGGAGCCGTGGATGGTCTACCCCGCAGCACCTTGCCGTCGTTTCAGCTTCTCTGCCTATGCATGTGCAACATGATGAATTTCCACACGTACAGTTCCTTGTAGCAGCAAAATGGCTACAAGCGACGAAAACTCACACAACCATAAAGTATTGCAACCTGCGCCCTTTGGAAGGACTCGACCTTTAACAGTTGTGGTTTAGGTACTTCTTTGGGCTCCCACCGTAGCCCTGCAATAGCAGGATTGTCCACCAATGCCATTGCATAACTTCAGGCTTTCGGCGAAGCCCGACTCGCCCAAGCCGAGAAAACAGTAGAACACACTAAGCTCCAACTTCCAGGGCAGAGCAGGGAAGAGTCTGCCGTTGCCGTTGAGCAGAAGGAGCATTGTCAATGTGTGGTTGTTTTTGATGGTGATGTCGGATATGCGTTGCATTCTTGATCAGTCCTTGACGCGGAGCCTTCGGTCGGGGTGCCAAGCGGATGTGTTGAAGCCCAGAACATGTTCAAGACTGCGGCAGAGGTGAAGTTGGTTTCGCCGGGAGGCCTACACACAAACATGTATCCATCTCCGCACTACTTCACAGAACTGAAGCGATCCAGTACCGATGCTCCCAGCTTGCCAAGCCAGCATGAACAGGTATACGCACATGGAGTAAACGGGAAGTACTCGATAAACAGGCGTTTGATTGCAACAAATCATCACATTATGCATGACATGACAGGGATGGGCGCGCAAGATTCGCTTTGTATACATGCTGAGGAAGTTGGCGGCATTCCGGGTTTTGGGAGACGCCTCGCGATGCTGCAGCTGGAGTGGCCCGGTCTGGTTTTGTTTTGGCAGCACGGCCTTGTTCTTTGTACCGGCTTGACATCGCAGCCGACAGATTGGCTTGGCGGCAACTTTTCATGTTCTGGCACTCAGCATTGTCGTAGATGCCTGCAGGTTTCAGATCTTCCAGATCGGGGGCAACATGGACGAAAGCGACATCAAAAAAAACCTCCAAGAAGGGGATTCCAGCCAGGCCGGTAGAAGAGACCTCCTCTTGTGTTCATGGTTTGCTGTCCTCATGCTCTCAGATGACTTCGACATTCGTCACCATCATGGACGGTCTGGGTGTCAGCACAGCCACTTGGGGCCCCCCGATGCAACATCGCTTCCGCAGGGCATGCATGTTTGGGCGAATCGAAAACGCAAGCTTCCTGTTGAAATAAATTGCCACTGCAGATGCGAGCTCAGGACTGTCAGTCCAATCCATCTCCTTCGGACGATCTGCACCTAGCACAGACAGTGGTGGCGGCACTGGAAGCGGTACTGGCACAGGAAGTGGCAGCGGCAGTGGAAGTGGCTCTGGAAGCAGCCAAGATGGTGGAGATGGTCCGGGTGGAGACGGCACTGGTGGGGATGGCGATGACGGTTCTGGTGACGACGGAGATGATTCTGGCGACGACAGTGGCGGCAGCAGCGGCTCAAGCGGCAGTGGCAGTGGCCCAAGCGGAAGTGGTCCCAGTGGGGATGGAGGTGATGGCTCGGGTGGCGACACTGGCAGTGGCAGCGGACCCAGCGGAGATGGGGATGATGGTTCAGGTGACGACACTGGCAGTGGCAGTGGCCCTGGCAGTGGCAGTGGACCCAGCGGAGATGGGGATGATGGTTCAGGTGACGGCAGTGGCAGTGGCCCTGGCAGTGGCAGCGGACCCAGTGGAGATGGAGATGATGGTTCTGGTGATGATACTGGTGGCGGCAGCGGCCCCAGCGGCGATGGAGGTGACGGTTCTGGTGGCGACACTGGCAGCGGCAGCGGCAGCGGCCCAAGCGGGGATGGAGATGATGGTGCTGGTGACGACACTGGCAGTGGCAGTGCCCCCAGTGGCAGCGGAAGTGGCACCGGTCCTGGTACTGGTAGTGGTCCGGGTGGAAGATAGTCAAGCCCAGTGGCACGAGACGACTTCCCTGCAGCTGGGAATTCTAAGCATGTGTGCTTTCATCGCTGCTGACAGCCTGGTGGTTTGACTCTGACTGCCTACGCAGTATCCCTGGCACTTCTTAGGATAACAGGTATGTAAGTGCTTTGTTCTGACAATACGAACTGTCCCCAAACAAGCCGCGGCAAAAGCATCTTGAGGACAGGAACACCACGGGTACTCGAGGGTTGCTTTTGGGGGTGAAAAGAAGCACCGAAGCCAATTGTGGTCTGCGCGATAGAACATTCCAAGTGGCCACGAGCTGGTCAACGACACATCCAGCAGCAGTCTTACCGTGGTACGATTTGAGCGTGCTTTTCGTTTTAGCCCGTTTCGCTCATCCCTTTGTTCCAAAAGGCTTGGCTCGATGATCCTTTTGTTCCTGGTCCCATGCTCCCCAGTGTAGTCCTCCGATCCCCTCCTGCTGATGAAAACAGTCCCTTACCTTCATCTAAACTGCCCTCTCCCAAGTCCACACCAAGCTAAGCCATGTTGGAGTTACCGTTTGTTGGCATCGTCTGTAATGGCTTTGACTGCCGCCATACTCACGGCGACAACGTATAATCTTCTTGGAATGCCATGCACTGTGAGTCAAGCACAAGATTTCTTATCGTCCAGAACTGATGCACTCGCACAAAGCCGCACAGAATGGCAGCCCCAACCCTTCTGAAGGCCACCAAATCAGCAAAGCCTTCTAGAACCTCAGAAGCTCCGTCTACTGAGAGCCTAACCATGTGGTGGCAGATCGAATTGAAGAATTGCCATGACTCACAGGCCTACAGCCCACACTCGTGTTGTTGATACAAGCTGTAGCATCTTGCCCTGGCCACACGGTTCTGGGCGCTCACGTTCCCTCAAGGCTGAGACCCTCTGTCTTTGCGAAGCAAAGAAGAGGCGTAGCCTCGGACAACGATCAAAGGCCGCCCTATGCCCGGCCCACGCACAAAGGGCGTCCTGTCGTGCACATATCTGCAGGATGCTGAGCCATCCACTGGCAGAAAAGACTCCGAAGGTTTGGCACGTAAGTGAGCAGGGCTCGGTTGGCAATGGGGTCTACACTTGCTAGGTCCGCTGGGATACTGGATCTTGAAGCGGTGCTGATAGCAATCAAGCCGCTCATAGTTGGCGCTTGCGTCCCAGGCCCCTTCACGTGCAACAAGCCGCCCTGGAACTGCCTCCAGGCTTTGCAGTTTTGGGGGAGAGAGAGCGGGAGAGCACAAAGAGGTCTAGCCCAACGGGCCACACCGACCTCGAATGTGGCACGAGCTCTTGTGCGGAGAAGGTGGCGGAATGATGACAGATCAAAGCAGGAAGCTTTGCAGGCGTAACCGATGCCAAGAAATTGTCGCTGGAGGCACAGCGCAGGAATGTACCGGATGCCCGCCTCACTCCGCGACCATGTATCTTCAAGATCCACCCGCTGCGACAGCCCGGCACTCCTGGTTGAAGAACGACAGCAAACATCAGGCTTGAGAGAAAGCAATCAACACCAAGACCAGCTCGTGCAGCCATTTTTCATGCTCGGGTATGAATGCATCTCGACTCGTTTATGTTCGGCCCACCAGAGATGTCTAACCCGAGTGTAACGTTGCTGATCCTGTCCACCGACGACGAGCTCATGTCCGGTGCAAGAACTGTTTGTTGAAGGTCGCTGATCTGAGTGAGCTGCATAAGAACCTGGGGCAAAGCGTTTTGTCTTTTTTGACTTCCTATGCAGGTCGCGGCCTCCGTCACGACCTCCGACAGCGAATTCAGTGCATCGGCAGCACCCGCATGCCTGAGGAGTTTCTGGGGCAATGGGCCGTGGAGCCTTGCGAAGTCTGCAGCACTTCTCTTGGACTATATCATATTGTGTATATGCATACTTATATTACTACATATATGCATATATACACATAAACTTAAATATAATCATACATATATATACATATATATTCTGTAGTTATGCTATATAAAAAACACACATACGTCTGAATAGAATTTGCCCCTCGTTGGTAGCTTGAATTTGCAACATCTGCACGAGAGCCTATGTAGAAGGCATCACTGCCTTTGCTGCGGCACGGGCTTGCCAAGTTTTGAGATCATGCATATTCAGACGTGCTTCAGTCCCGAGTAGTTACTTGGAAGAAATCGCGCTTGAGGCGCTGTCTGAACCTGCTGATAACTGCAAATATTCGAGGATCTCTAAATTGTGAGAGATCTCTCGCCCTGCAAGTGATTTGGAGCTTGTGCCCAACAAGCAGTGTCCAAGTTGGCCACGGCCCGTATCACTCTCAGAGGCGCCGTTCATCCTAATCACTTGTTTCAATCCAACATTGCATCTAAACCTCAGGTGCTGATGTTGTAAAAAGAAAAGAGCTACTCGATGTGGAAGTCCTCGATCTTCTGCGTTGCCAGAACCCTGTGCTGGAGCACCGCCCAGACGGTCGTTGTCGCCACGCAGTCCAAATCTGGCCATCTGGGCGAGACCACCAGTAATTATGTCTCATGACACGTTGGTGCACCTGATGTCATCCTTGCATGGAACGATCTTCAGCTTAGCAGAACCCGAAAAAAAGTCACGCTTTCCGATGGCCCGACATGGCATTGCTCCTGGGATCACTCCTTGGACCTGGGCAGCATGTTGACTTCTTCAGTCACGCTCAAGGCAGGGAGCCGAGAAGTAAGTTTCGGCTTTGTACCTGGGATAGCGGGAGTGTAGCGATAGTCACTAGTCTTGGGGACGAACGAAGTCGAGCTTTGTAAGCCCTGGCTGCCCGAAGGGCTCTTGGTGATCGACCACCAGCTATGCCTTCCACTGGATGACGGCGTCATCTACCACGTCAGGCATCGTGAGAAGCCCAACTGCAGCGTTGTAGCATCACCTCCATCGCCCTTGCCAGTATGCGACCCTACGAAAGTTGAAGGCAATATCATATAACTATATATAATTTGGATTATATGATATGCTCCTAAGACATGCAATCAGCCCGAATTCATGCCCCTGTGCGGAACCCCCAAAACCAGTATCCAGTGACAAACCAGGCATGCTCGTCGCCAGCCCGTGGATTCTTCGGCTGGTTCTTTTCTCTTGGCGGGCTACATGGCTGAAGTAAGCAAACATGAGCGACAACACGCCGATCAAGAAGAATATCTGGAATAGGATCTTCTCCTGCCAGCTGTGCAATTTCAGGTCGAGTGAGTGCAGGTCTCACTGGTTGTTGCATGTGCATTCGAAAGCGCAGTCACTGCAGCTCGGCCCAAGAATGCTCAGGATTCCTGTTGTGAGTTCTCCTGCTTTGCCTGACGCTCAGCATCACAACTCGAGTTGCAGTGCTTGTGCGGGGATCTTTCGGCATTTTGCCGGCTGCCGGACATCCAAAGATGCAACTTGTCGGAATCCAGACTCTCGCCACTGGCAACAATGATCTTCACCAGAAACACTGTTTTGCATCTCCGCAGCCTTCCCAGAAGGCCCAGTAGGAGGCTGCAGATTGGAAGCACGGATCATCGCAGATGCAACGCACGCAAACTTGTGCGGCCGCAGCATTTTGGCTTCCTCTGCCGGCCAGCGAGGGCTTAAGCTCACCCACCGGGCAGCCGGATCACCCCTGACATCGCACTGCCCGCAGGCACGTGCCGGCAGGGCTCTCCAAAGAAGTAATTTCTACGTAAGTACTACTGTAAGGCTGCATCGTCTAGAGCGCACCTCGCATGAACTAGTAGCAGGTGTCTTGCTTGACAGGTCAACCATGACTTTTGCGAGGTCTTTGGCCATGAAAGCAGTGCAGGAGCAGGCGCAGCTGATTGATATGTTTCAATCCAAGCGCGCCACGGAGCGGCTTTGGTGATTTCAGTCTTCCATGCATGTAGGATCATGATTCAAGGTCGCTTAAACCAGAACAAGGCAAACACTATTGGCAACTGGGGCACACAGCTCAAGATGCAGGGAACAGCTCCGTCTGCACTGGCTGCTGCGAGGCCAACCGCGATGCCCACGATACTGCGACTTGCGAGCGCTGGGCGACTCGATTCCAGCTCTGAAGCTGCAGGTGCTTCCTCTGCGGCATGAGAGCTCAGGTGAACTCCCAGGTTGTCAGCATCAAATCGACATGCAGAGCCGCGGCTCGGACCCATTCCGCATGCCTTCTCTGGTGCATTGCCTTCTGCACATTTCAGATTTCGAGGCCAGCAAGCGCTGCGAATTCTCCGCTGAGATAACAGACAGCTTGCCGTTCCTATATCAGCAAGAAGGCACGGAAGCTGTCACGACATAGCCGCGCCCGATGCCAGAATCCAAGCTGTGAAGCAGACCTGCCCGCTTCACCCAGCGCGATGGGAGGTCAGAAGAAGCTCCTGAAGGAACTTCGAGCTCGTCTGGAAAAGCTTGGCTTCACCAAGCTACAGGTCTCTCAAGAGGTTTCTGATGAAGGCCGCTTTTCGTTCTTTGCGAACTTCGTGTTCATGACATGACGTTCTCACTACCGTTCAGTATGTCCCTGAAGATGCAAGGCGTTAGGCCAATGCTCTAAATCGAGTTGGACCTACATCTAACTGGACCATCGTTTTACTACTGCAATCCCATTGGAATGCTTTTGTCTTGGCGCAGCTGGGAAAGTCCGTGTTTCCATGTCCTGGGCTGGCCTGGGGCCTTCGGAGCCTTCGTGCCTCGGCGAGCAGAGAAGCGGAAGACGCATCGCCGCCGATGAGTCCTGCCAGGAAAGCTTTTTGAGAGCAGGTCGCATGCTGTGCGGTTCCTGAGGCCCAAGTGCTGCAAGTGCTTTGCCTTCTTGTGGACTCTGCCCATGCTGCTCACCAAAGGACCACCTTTCGATATGTCTTGGTGGAACGCATACAGTCATTTTATCGTTTGTTGCTAGAGAGTCGACGTGGCAAGTGAGAGTGTGCATGTGGCGGTAAAGGCGGAAGGCTGAGGTAACCCATGGTAGTACTCTTGCTTCTTTTGTGAGACTTTGACCGTGGAAAGAAGGATTTCGCAAGACTGCCCAGACTGAGAAGCGGTTCGCCAGCCCGCTGAAGCTCCCGCTGAAGTCGCAGAATGCGGAGAGGCTCGCTTTGACAATGAGTGCAGCCTTGTACAACTGTGGGCGGGGTAGCAAGCAGTGTACAATTGGCAGGAGTTGCCGTCCGTGGAACACGTCGGAGCTCTCCTGCTGAGCCACTACGAAGGAACCCAACTTATCCTGTTTCCAACTTGGGAGCCAGAAGCTACCTGTCTCACTTGCAACCAAGTTGAGACGGTTTTGACAGCTGATAGCCTGGCGCAGTGTGCTTATTCACATGCGCTTCTCTCCGATATCTTCACAAATTATCTTTCAGACATCCCCCTTGCAGCTACAGTAGCTTACGACTATCCGCTCGTCACTACTGGTCGGGGCATTGCTGGCTACTGTACAGCCGCGAGAGAGCGACTTCCACGGCCGGGTTGCCCCCTTCAATATAGTGAGAGCTACACGGTGAATAATTCTCGTTGCCCCATGCTGCTTCGGATTGAGTCCAAGCAGCTGGTGACAATTACACCTAGCAGGCTTTTCCACAAGCATGGCAGCCGACAAATGGTTCTGTGTTTTAATTGCACATCATCTTCGTCCAGCACACGACGTCTGTTTTCCAGACAACTTTGGTGTTCCACTTGGAACATGCAGTGTTCAGCTTCCATGGTCGGTGCAATCGGTGCAATCGATCATGGAGACCTTCGTCGTGGCTAGACCAACTCCTGACTAGCATGGGTAGGGACCAGCAGACAGCTTCATGAGAGCCTGGGTGTAGTGACCCCAGCTTATCTCTTCCCGATGTGAAACATCTTGGGCCACACCAGTCTGGACCGGCCTCCAAGACAATTAGACAGAAGGCAGTTGGAGCTTTCGCATTGCAGCCCATGACTACCCGAATGCTTACGAATCCTACGAGCTCCTCATGCCTGCTGGATTCTCAACAGCATGGGCGTATGCACCGAAGGCGAGAGCTCTTCTGGCAATTCTTCAAGAGGGGTGCTGACTTCGGCATGCGCAGAGAAAGCTGATGCGGATTCTGCATGTGCTCCGACATTCTTGCGTCGTACTCTTGCACCTGCATGCCGTGAAGATGCTACTGGTTTTGGACGCATTCCAATCAAGTCAGCGCGCCGTGCACAAGGCCGCACTTGAACTGATGATTCTAAAGAGAGCATCCGGCATGTTCACGAACGGTCACTGGAGTGAATGGCGCTCGAGGAACACAACTGTGTTTCCATAATCACTCCTTTGCTGCCTGCTCGTTTCCTCACATACTCATAGAGCACGGGCTGGCACACGCACCACCTGGGCACTCCCATTTGAGGGCACCAAATCCAGCACAGCCGAGCCCCACCCCAAAAAATAGGGGATGGGGGTGCGCGAACGCGCGGGGTACAGGGATTGCCTGTGCCCTACCCATGTATATATACATAGGTACAAGTACATATACATATGTATTTGCATATGTATATGTGTATATATATATAGACACATGTATATATGGCGCACGTAAACTTTATATGTGGACCCGGTTCCCACCGCAGCATTTTAGAGTCTTCGGCTTGCCATTGAAGAACAGCAGCATCGCGACTACACAGGCGGCGCAGACTGGCAGTAGTATTGAACCTCAGCAATGTGCTTGGCCGACAGGTTCATCATGGCTTTCGCAAAGTCTTTGGCCATCAATGCCGTGCAGGAGCAGGCGCAGCAAAAAGACAAAGCACAATCCCACGTTTGCGGAGAAACTTAAACTGCATGGCAAACCTCGCATCATTCCCGAAGCCTCGTCGCGAATCAGGCAACCACATGGCTGATTTTGAGAGAAATCCAAGCCAACCGACGATCTTTGATGCTCGAAGGTCTTATCTGCAAACGTTGTAGGGAACGAACGCCCAAGGCTTCACTCGGTCCTTAGTCCTCTTTAGAAACTTGACAAGTAAGTGTCCATTGCTTCGGGCGCAACTGAGCCCAGTGTGCACAGTGGCAGCTGCAAGGCCAACCGCGAAGCCGAAGATGCTGCGACCAGCGAGCGCTGGGCAACTCGGCCGAATTGAGCGCTTAAGCTGCAGCCGCTCTCGCTCCGATGCACGAGATGTCAGGTGAAATCACAGGTGGCCAGCATCAAGTCGACATGCGTCGCTGCCGCTCGGACGCATTCAGGGTTGCCGTCTCCGGCTCATCGCTTTCTGCACCTTTCAGAGTTCGAGGCCAGCAAGCGCTGTGAATACTCGGCCGAGATCTTGACAGACGCCTTGCCATCACTGCACCAGCAAGAAGGCACCGACGCATACTACGGAAACGGCTGAAGCTGCTCCTTTGCGACGTGGAGGTCAGAAGAAGCTCCTGAAGGAACTCCAAGTTCGTCTGGCACAGCTTGGCTTCACCAAGCTACGAGTCTCTCAAGAGTTCTCTGGTGAAGGCCGCTTCGTTGCTCTGTTTCGCTGCGTTACTCCACGGAAACCACGAAGCCTACAACTGCTCTACCATGCAAAGTGCAAGAGATCGCTGAATCCTAGGGTCCTAGGCTCAACAATCCTGTGCAGCAGTCCCAAGCACGGGTCAGAGTGGCGCCGCTGTTTAACAGCTAAAGTTGAGACGTTGTGGATTCCGCATCCTGCGCAGATGCCGGAAAAATCCGTGTCTCTGTCTCCTGGGCCGGCTTGGAGTCTAAGTGCCTGGGCAGCAAGAGACATCGCAGGGCGTTGCATGCTAAGCACCCT